TGACTTCAGTGAGAACCGGCTGAACGAAGCTTCTCGGCCCGAGCCGTTTGCTGCGAGTTTGGGAGGGCGGACGCGCGTAGCTGTAGGCAGTGCGTAGGTGCATGGTTTTCAGCTGACGTCGGTGCCTCTGACTCGGAAATACCACACATGATTTTCGCATGGATTTTGCTTGGTTTTCTTTATCCTTGGTTTTTCTTGAGTGCTTTACACCACCACATTGTCAACATGGCAAGTGGTACAGCAGATGCAGCAAACAACATGTGCTATGACGCGGCCGCTCCGGTCCCAATTCCGGAGGTCGACCATGAGGAGAACGACTCTTTTCATGTTTTCGATAGAAGCGAGGGTTGGAGGCCCCGCCGAGCCTCTGGGAACGGGGATGCAAATCATGACCAGGACCTCAGTGGCCCCGTGAAAACAGGCGAATTAGGCCGACTTAGTGGCAAACCTTTTTCCTTTTACAGAAAGCGAGCTTTTAAACGTGCTGTGGCCAGGGCCAAGAAGCATGGCACTACACAGTACCGAGGACAGACTTGTGATGTACAGGATCTCATGGGACAATACCAGACGAGTGCAGCCCAGCAGAATGGTCATGCCTCTAGGAGAAAGTTGGGAAGCAGTTCGGGCGCATCGTCGCAATTCTCGCTCTCCTGCTTTACCTGGAATTGCGCAGGGCTAAGCACCGTACAGGACGAACTGTTCACCTGGCTAGAAGAGAACCCGCACGACATCATTTTCCTGCAAGAAACTTGGCACAGGCAGCAGATGGATTTTGACACACGTGGGTATCATTGCATCGGCTCCGGCATCGGCACGGAGGCTAAGCGAGCCCACGCAGGAGTCATGACGTTGTTGCGCACATCGGTTTTCCCGCAGGAGTTCATCAGATATCATGAACATGTCGCAGGGCGTCTCCTTCAAGTGCGTGCTTGGTGTGCAGGTGGGTGGATAGACACCATTAACATGTACCAATACGCACTGGGCGGTCAGAACGAACAGGCTGCGATCCTTCAGAAGCGAGCTTCATTATGGACGACCTTGCGACGCACCCTGGGTCAGATCCCACAGAGCAGCACCCTCATCTCAGCCGGAGACTACAACTGCACACTAGAACAGTTGAAGCATCATGCAGGCCCGGGCATGCTGGCACCGAACACTCCCAGTCCGGATGCAGAGGACCTTGTTGCCATCATGCAAGACTTTTCACTGCTTGCCACGAACACTTATGGTAGGAAGAACAGCTTTACCTACGTTCATGAAGGCTACAAGCCAGCGCGACGCTCATTCATCGACTACTTGTTCGTGAGACAGCATAAGCATAGTGTTTGCAAAGCCGGCCACCTTCGGAACTGGCAGGTTGCGAGATGGAGAGCTGGAGGACGGCACCTCCCAGGTTGGCTTCGTATCACGGTCAGAAGGTTTCGTTCACAGCCGAAGGGGGTGAAGGCAGAGTGGCCGAGATGGAGGTGTCGTTTGCTTTCACAGGCCATCAAGGAGCAGCCGCACCTCGCCAACGACTTCGTGCAGCAGGTTGGCGCGGCACTACAGGAGGTGCCGGACTATAATCCCAAAGCCCTGAACAATCTTCTC